TATTTATATGTTTACGGACAATGGCATGTTGGAAGGTTTCAGAACAGGTCTCTCTTCGGCCCTGCTGAGTAATCCGTTTTTTGCATCGATGCACTGCAGTCTCTAAAATACCATGAATACGTGGCTTGCTATGAATGTCTGGGTAATTGTTATGTACATAAATGATTTTCTTTGTTGTTTCCGTATTACCGCTTTTCTCCAGTGGCCTCATTTAAAACTCAGTGAGATGCGAAAATTGTGTGATTAACTGCGTTAAAGTCACATCTGCCAGATGGTCCTTAAGCATTCGTTCACTTTTAAATAGTGAAATATGACAGCGTCAAATAATTATTCATAATTTATTTGATTAGTTCTTAGAACAGATAGTTTCAGACGCTGTATTTTAGAGAAGCGAAGAGTTCCTTTGCAATCTGATCGTCAACGGTACCATCGTTAATGCGAAGATCGACAGACCGGCTGGCATAGTGAATTTCAAGCCTCATCAGTCTCCAGCGGATGTTCTTCAAGAATGGTCATCTGACATGTCTTCACTAATGGATAAACTAAACAAGGCGTGTCATCTTATTCGTAAGGAAGAAATGGTGCACAAACACTTGTACAGTTCTGAGTTGGGCAACGTAGTCGATGCCATTTCCAGTTAGCACGAATAAATCGACTGGAATCTGTGCTTGTTAATTCGTGCGCGTTCCCGTATTCACGCTATTTTCCGAAAGACTTGCATCTGTTATTCATAACCATTAAGGCGATTTTGTAATTCTTGCAGTCTCCGGTTACTTTGTAAAAGTAAACTCGCTTAACTGATGCTTCAGTTGCTTCGTCTATGTGATTTCATCTTCATACACTAAATCGATTTAACCCCTGATTATAAGCTTGAAATAAAATGCTTGCAAACTAAGATTTTAGCGAAATTTTTAGTTTCGGTGCCATACAACAATGGTTTTGACTTTCTTCAAAACAAAGTATGCAAATAAGAATCAGTAAACTACTTCACATTGCTACGGTCGTCTATTAAAACATCATTTTAAAGAATGTTCGCATTCTATTACTGAATGTTCTGTAGGTCATCAAGCAAGTAGTCTTAAAAGAAGAAGTAAATTCGGACGCCTTGTTTACTCTTTGTTTCCTGTTCGTCTTCTTTTGGCTGTATTATTGAAATTGAACTTGAGAAAATTGCTTCGTAAATTCCTTCCTCCTCTCGGAAAGATATTTCCACTTTCCAGCTAAATCTCATGTACTTTTTAAGCCCATTTACGATACGGTCATCGAAGCTACTTAAGTTTCCACTAAAAATTACCGATTAAGCGGCAATTTCAGTGAAACTTCAAAAGCTAAATTTTCTCTTCTTCGCAGTCCAATTGAAGTTCGCAAGTTTTTCCGTAATTCGTATTTAAGAGACCGCGCGCGTTTTATTTTCCATGTTTTTACACCGTAAAGGTAACAAAGCAACCAGTTTGGAAAAAAAGTACTAAAAAATTACCAGTGGAACTTTTTTCTCAATGAATACACCAATGTTTCATTCTGGACCTGAAAAGACAGCCTCAGGCTTTGCACAATTTTCTAGGTCATAAATTGCAGGAATTCCTAAACTCCGAAAAATTGAACTTGTTCGTTGTTCTCTTGCCGAATCCACTTCAGACACTTTCGGCAACTAAGGTGGTACTGTTGGATGCTACGTGACCTCGTTTTACTTTGAAGCATCTTTTTCTGTTTCGAAGTTTGGCGCGTCGGCTGGTAAAAGTCACGTAGCTCAGCCATGTTTCGATACGATCGCCAAACCTTCTCTAATAATACAGCCTTTTTGTGAAAAACGTCAATAAAACTAACCGGTGATTTTGAAAAAGGAATGTAAATGTTGATGTGCCATAAAAAGTGCTCCTTTGTTCTAACAAGCCGACTGATCAAAAAATGTGGTTATAGGAGTGGGCGGGCTTAGTTTGTTTCAGAACCTGCCTTGTTCCAAAATTTGCATAGGATCAAATCTAAACTTGTATTTATAATTAATTGGTTCTGGTTAAGACTTCCGCTTTATGCAAGCACACGTGAAAGAACGGACGACAATCGAGATTACTGCGTATGTCATGGTATACACTGATAATAGACATGAGTGTGCATCTCTTCTTTTGCCATTTCCTGAATCATGCTTCAACAATGGTAAAATGGCGCTAAAAATGCAGTTAACAGTGGGATCATACGTTTGAGGTTCATATACCTTCTCTGGCGGAAGGAACTGAGGCTGCAATTTGAATATAATACAGGCTGTTCTATCTCTGGTGGTCATGTCCTTAAAATATTTGAACATAATGACCTCCTCCAGGTAGTTATTGCTTACTTGATTTTGCAAATTATTCGTTTCACATTCTAGTCCGCCATTTCTAGTAGCCAGAACGAGAAAATTCACGCCGCATACATGAAAATTAATTCCTTTCTTTCATAGTACTGAAATGGACGATTATTTCCAAATTTCTTTGCAACCATTAATAATTACAGTAGACTTAAAGCGGATGGAGCTGTGAGCAACTTGGCATAATGTATTTGCCACATTTTTTTGTTCTTTGAACCATATAGCATAAAAGAACTTCATTTCTCCTTGGTAGTCTGATTCCTTCGCTTAACTTATGGGTCGTTATTTTCAGTTCTAAAGGTAGACAGAACTATGTAATAAATGTCGTCATCGCTTTATCACGGATTGGCTCCAAGAATGATGCACGAACGGTCCTTTGGGTACATAGATGTAACACTCTTCATATGGCAGCTTAATATCGAAAACAGGAGATATCAGTCACTGATTATCACTGTTCCTTCAGATGAATTTTTCAGAGTTCAGGAATGGTCTATACTGATAAGGAAAATGCGATTCAGTATGCGAATCTACAACTTTGTCGTTGTTCACTCCGCAACCTGTATATAATCACTGTCGTGTGGAGAGCTTAATGGATTCTCTGTTGTCCACGGTCTTCCTATAAGTAAGAAAATTAAAAATTCTGAAATATGTTTGCTTCTCACTTAACAGTAGGTTATCCTGTTCTTTTCTATGACCAAAATGGGAGAACTGTTAAGATTAGCTATCTTTTGCTAGTTTTGCAACTTCCAGATTTTCGTCTACACTCGTATCAAAATCATGTTATACGGATATGCCTTTCGCTGAATCAGTCAACTTTTAAGCAGGTCAGAAAGTGAGGGAAGGTATGTTTTTAAGTTGGTCTTTCCCAAACATTCCGTAGTACAGGATCATATCTGGCATCCTTCTTTTCATGGAGTCAATGATCTTCATTTTCATGCCATCAGCCAGTATTGCTTTACTCTAAAGGCAGGGTTGACAGCAGCAACGTGGAATGCGTAGAGTGTAGTATCCTGTTTTCTGCTTGCAGAGTGATACTCATTTGTCAACTTCCGCAGAAAGAGTATGCTACGTCCTGACCTGGTCCCGAACCCGGAGCCTGCCAATTTTGCATGTGATGTTCTATCGACTACGCAAACCCGGTTTGATGTGTCATGATGTAAATTTCTTCCTTGAAGAAAATTGTCGTTGATGCAAATATTGCCCTCCGTTGGAACTGAACCCGGCAACTCCGGAATTCGAAGCCAACCTCATAGGTACTCTGTCACTACTTCATCAGCTTTATTCCGCTACTCCACTCATCAAGCTGGAGTAGTATAACGCTTGCATCGGACAACATGGTTGTAAGTCTCACATATTTTTGTGTTATTAAATCTGTTCCTGCTGTTCGTCCGTCATCGAATGTGATGTGAGTACCGTCGGGCAATTTCTTTACTCAAGGGAATTAATAAGTGATGTGGAAATTGCACCAGAAATCGAACCCACCTTTCCTTATACACAGTCTAACGATTGCCCCTATCATTCTGTTACCCAAATTTGTCAGAGTTCCATGATTGAATTTATTTGAATACGCATCTATCAAAGAACATGATAGAAGAATTTTCTTCTTTGAACAGATGTTCATTGTGTGTGGGCAAAGGCGAAGCGTGCCCTACACCATGGCAGTGAAAAACGTAACGAAATTAAAGTTAAAAAGTCAGCCTGAGAAGCGAAATACTTTAAGGTACAGCATTTTCTGTAAATACGCGACGCAAAGGCTTTTTCTTGCGCGTTCTTCAACACTGCTAATAACATAAAAACGATAATTGCTTCCATCAGGCGAAATCACTGAAAACTCTATAGGCTATGTTCGCATTAGGACGTTTGATGAGCGGACAGCGAGATGGCGACCATGCTGAAAAATTGCAGCTCGACGTCGAGGACACAGGTGCACTTTGTACAAATTATTATTCATTGCCATACGATTAGTATTCGACGACCAATTGATATTCGCGAACTTGTTTATGTGATGTGGCGTTTTTATAGGAGCTCCTTATTGAGGTCGAAAGCATTTAAGCAATATGCATCACAATTTGAAATGTCTAAATGATGGCAGGATTCAAATAACATTTAATAATGCGACATCACGACGACAGATTCTTTCACTATAGGCAATTTGTTGAGTTCGAACTGGCGAAGCTATCAGACTCAAGGGAAACAACTTCACTCTGTATCTTCCAATCTCAGTGTCCGGAGAATCGGCAGTGACCAAAATATGGAACTGCATGAGATGATGCCGTACGGCTTGGTGTATACTCTTGAGTTGGCAGTAGATCTGTGAGTTTGGAGTGATGATACAAGCATCTGAAGCTGACAGACTCTTTTGTACCTTTTAAGGAAACTCCGCTTAGGAGAGGGACGGATTTTCGCGGGGGCACCCCTGTAAATCCTCCTCTATCGAACTGAACTCTAAGTGACTAGAAGTGCGATGCTGTGTAATGAGACAGCACTGAGTGCTGTGGTTGGTTCAGATTTTTTCGGTAGTAGAAAATATTTACGATTCCTGCGGACTCAAATGAAAAATGTGTATGTGAAGAGCAGTTGTATAGTGAAATCAAAGCAGCAAAGTTCCATTGATTCACGTTTGATAATTCTTTAGCAACGTGGTGGATATCGTTCCATTAATTATTTGTTCCCTTTTACCATGAGAAACGTTTTAATCATTTTCACCTTCGGGTCCGCAATGCTCATTTGCCATCATCAGACTTTCAGACTTCTTCCGGCGGCTTCTTTCTTGAGGTGCGATGGTAGAGTTGCGAGGGGGTGGTCGGTTTCGAGGAATTTATTACACATTGACCTGAAGTAACTGAAAAGGAACATGAATAACGTCGCGGCGTCGAAAACAACAGGGATGGCCTGGCGCCTCATTTAGAGGTCAAATTTGATTTGACCCACTTGAAAGGTGAGTTTCCAGGGTAGCAGCTGTTGTTATTGATAAACAACAATTTAAATTTAGGGCTAACCAACTTTATTTCCGCAGCCTGACGTTTGAACCTTTTGGACCTAAACCTGGTCAACAACTTTGTGAAGTAACTTCTCACTTCAAATGGCCATACTTATATTTAGCAACACATATTATGTTATTATACAATGATGATGGGATGAAAGATAAATTACCGGATGGCATAAACTGAAGAAGTAATAAAAATGATTAAAACTTGCCCCATCTTTTCGAAGATTGAAATTGTCTACCTAGGTATCACCTGGCATTCTGAAATTGTCCACATGGCTAAGCAAGGCGTTGAATCAGATATAGCGTTGAAT